ATATATATTTTAAAGGATATTGGAAGAAGATAATTTTCCTTTTTAGCATAAGAAAAAGACGACTTCGTTTCAACATTTTATGAAATAAATTATCTTCTTTTCGGCGCCTACTAATGTGCCATGGTCTTTTTGTTTTCTTTTTGTTTTTTTAATTTTCCTTTAAGGGACTGGCCAATCTTTTCTTTATTTTATTTTTCCTTTAGTTTTCTTCTGGTTGGTAGATAATATTCTACATATTTGAATATCTGATGAGTAAACGAAAAGTTTTACAAAAAGACAAGAAGAAAATGCCATTTCGTGCAGTTTTTTGGGCTGACATTTCATGTATTTCTGAAGTATGAAACTAGAACGATGTATTGTCCAAAAAAAAAAACACCGATTTTTAAGGAGACGTTATAACAATTTAAAGATTCTTTTGATTAGAATATAATTCAAATATTCTCGGACTCAAATAATTATGTTTTCCTTAGAGTCAAATACTACCGTTGTAATTTTAAAAAAAAAAATATAGGGTTTTCAACTTTCTTCTCCCCCACACAAACCAAAAAACAAAAAAAAGTGAACGGTGGCCGGAGTTCCGGGGCAGTCTCCGAACGTGTTGTCGGGCTCTCGGCCATAAAACTTGGTCCCTCGACTTGCCTAGTCGTGAGCTTCTCGTTGGTAGTAGCGGTGTATGATGTGATGCTTTTGTTTGGGTATATCTAAACTAGTTTGGAGCTTGGAAACCAAACGGATAGGCTTCATTTATAGGCGAGTTTGTCCTGTAGTGGTCAGACGTTTTTTTTTTTTATCTTTTTTGTAATTTTCGTGTTTGTAATAAGGGCGGCGGTCTCCCCACCCGACCCTCGTTTGTTTTGCTATTTGTTGTTAGTTTTTAGTGACGGGCTTAAGGCTGTTTGTATGTCTCCTAATAGGGTTGTCTTTGTCCGGCTAGAATTTTTTCTATATAGTGTAGATGTCCCCTCTTTATGGGTTTGACGATATGTTCCTCCGGCGCTCAAAAACCTATCTCAATGGGACGGGTTTCTTTAATTCGAGCTTTATGTGTGCTCGTTGTTAGTGTACCAAAGTGTTCTCTTATTTTTGGACCTCAGGTGTACATTCATTCCTTTAATGAGTCATTAGTGTTGTACCGAAATGATTGTTTATAAGTTTTTAATTAAATGCAATTTTCAATTCAAAAATAATAATAATACCGTAGTACAATTTTCCTTATAACCATATATGTTACGTTGACATGGTAAATAAATCCAAATTTAGAATTTTGTGAGACTATGCAAAGTGATCTACCATCGATATATATATATATATATTGAAGAAGAATATTAACCGTTGACCACGGACAATTGATTTTCCAATATTACGCAATTACAACCCAAATGCGATACGTATATTTAAAAAAAAAAATGCCATACATATACAGATTCACATTTTTCCCAAAAGAATATATTATATGATTTTATCCCCATAATTTCAACAACAAAATTTACAGAGAGGCAGTTTCGTAAAATTTCATCCATTCTCTTATTAATTTTCTCTTCTTCAACCTTGGATTATGAGTTGGAGAGAAAGAAAGGGCGGAATGAGAATTGAGATGACCTACGATTCCCGATTAGCGTCCGTACGAAAGATATATATCACCAAAACAGAAGATCACTTCTCTAATAAATAATAATAATAATAATAATAATAATAATAATAATAATAATAGTAATAGTAATAAAAGTAATAATAATAATAATAATAGTAATAATAGTAATAATAATATTAATAGTAATAATAGT